GCTCATGAGGAACCTGTACATAGACCAAGAGGCAGTCATTCAAACAGAACAAGGCAATACTGAGTGGTTTAAAATCAGAAAAGGTGTGCATCAGGGTTGTACCCTTTCACCGTACTTCTTCAATCTGTCTGCTGAGCAGATAATCAGAGAAGCTGGACTATATGAAGAAGAACATGGTATTAGGATTGGAGGAAGACTCATCCATAACCTGTGATATGCATGACAAAACCTTGCTTGATGAAAGTGAAGAGGACTTGAAGCACTTAAATGATGAAGATAAAAGACTACAGCCTTCAGTACGGATTACACCTTAGCGTAAAGAAAAGAAACATCCTCACAAATGGACCGATAAGAAACTTCATGATAAACGGAGAAAAAAATTGACGTTGTCAAGGATTTCATTTTACTTGGATCCACGATCAACTGCCATGGAAGCAGCAGTCAAGAATTCAAAAGACGCATTGCACTGGGCAAATCTGCTGCAAAAGACCTCTTTAAAGCGTTAAAAAAGCAAAGTTGTCCCTTTGAGAACTAAGGTGGGCCTGACCCAAGCCATGGTATTTTCAATCACCTCATACGCATTCGAAAGCTGGACAATGAATAAGGAAGAACAGAACAAGGGGATACTGCGTGGTTTAAAGTCAGGAAAGGTGTGCATCAGGGTTGTATCCTTTCACCATATGTACTCAATCTGTATGCTAAGCAAATAATCCGAGAAGCTGGACTATGTGAAGAAGAAGTGGGCATCAGGATTAGAGGAAAACTCATTAACAACCTGCGATATGCAGATGACACAACCTTGCTTGCTGAAAGTGAAGAGAACTTGAAGCACTTACTGATAAAGATCAATGACCACACTCTTCGGTATGGATTACACCTCAACATAAAACAAAAATCCTCACAACTGGACCAATAAGCAACATCATGATAAACAGAAAATACTGAAGTTGTCAAGGATTTCATTTTTTTGGATCCACAATCAATATCCATGGAAGTAGTAGTCAAGAAATCAAACGATGTACTGCATTGGGAAAATCTGCTTCAATAGATCCCTTTAAAGTGTTGAAAAACAAAGATGTTACTTTGAGGACTAAGGTGCGCCTACCCCAAACCATGATATTTTCAGTTACCTCATATGCATGTGAAAGCTGGAAAATAAATAAGCGAGACTGAAGAAGAATTGATGCCTTTGGATTATAGTGTTGGTGAGTAATATTGCATATACCATGGACTTCCAGGAGAATAAACAAGTCTGTCTTGGAAGAAGTACAGCCAGAATGCTCCTTAGAAGCAAGGATGGCAAGAGTTCATCTCGAGTACCTTGGACATGTCATCAGGAGGGACCAGTCCCTAGAAAGGGCATCATGCGAAAAAGAGGAAGACCCTTGATGAGATGGATTGACGCAGTGACTGCAACAATGGGCTCAAACATAGCAAAGATTGTGAGGATGGCACAAGACCAGGCAGTGTTTCCTTCTGTTGTACATAGAGTCGCTATGAGTCAGAACCAACTTGACGGCACCTAACAACGACAATGACATTCTCTAACCAGAATTGCAATGAGGCTAGAAATATGTTTTTTTTTTTAAAGGTTAATATACCATGACCAAGTCTGATTTATCCGTGGATTACAAAGTTAGTTTAACATGTTAAAAAAAATCCATTTATGTAACAAAAGTATTTATATTTTATGTACTTTATTGTATATGTTCTATTTCAGAAATTTAAAAGGTTAAAAAAAGTAAATAAAAGAGGTCCAAGGACTGAACCTGAGTCTCTCCTATATTTCAAATATGTTTGTAAACCCTACATTTGTTCAACATTCAACAAATACTTTTTTTCTTTCAATATTTTATAGTGTTTTTGGTGAAAATCTGCACAGCTAATTTGGTTCCCATTTAACAATTTCTTTACATATTGCTCAGTGACATTAGTTACATTTTCCACATTGTGTCAACATTCTCATTATTTCCGTTCTGGTTGTTCCATTTCCATTAATCTTGCTTCCCTCCCCCCGCCTGACCTCGTCTTTGCTTTAGAGTAAATGTTGACCGTTTGGTCTCATATAGATGATTTTTTTTAAAAACAGCACAGTACTCACAGGTGATATTGCTTATTTTATAAGCCAATCTGTTGTTTAGCTGAAAGGTGTCAGCAGATATTTTTTGAGCATCTCCTATGTGCCAGGCACTGTTTCAGGTGCTGGGAATACAGCAATGGACAAAATAGACAAAACCCCTTACTTTCGTGGAACTCACATACTAGCAAAGCCTAGAGAGAGTATTTCAAGGAGGATGGAGTGGTGTAAAATGATGTAAAATGCTGCTTAGATGTAGAGTAAGACGAGAACATAAAAAATTGTCCTTATGTCTAAAACTGTTATACCCCAAACATACTCCTCCTCTAGGGTTCCCCATCTCAGTGAATTACATCACTATCCATCTGTTTGCCCAAGCCAGAGACCTGAAAGTTATCTTTGAGTCCTCTGTCTCCCTTCCCTGCCCCATTATACTTCCAATCCATCATGAATTCTACTAAACAAATCTCAAATCCAGAGAAGGTAAGGATGTGAAGCGTTTCTACCCATTTGGTCCATCAGGATACTGCTTTTCTTCTGCTGTTTTCTCCAGGGCTCAGAGTGGCAGTGTCCCACAGTTCAAGAAGGTGGTTTTCCAGGAATTTACTGATGGCTCCTTTACTCAACCTTTATACCGTGGAGAACTAAATGAACACTTGGGACTCTTGGGGCCATATTTAAGAGCAGAAGTTGACGACAATATCATGGTGAGTTGGGGGCAATGAAATTACAAGAAAATTAATCCTACATATGTATTTTGTTTCTTATTATAAAAATCATGTACTCTTACTGTTGGAAGTTTTTAAAGTATAGAAAAATAAAGAAGTTGACAAATGATCTCATAATTATCAGTTTGGTGCACGGTCTTGTCCTTTTCCTGTGTATTCTTGTCTTTATGTATTCAGAATTATACCATATACAACTCTGCTTCTTCTCTTTTGACTACATATCATGTCGTAAACATTTCTTACATCATTAGAAGCACTTCCCAAGTATCTTTTTTAAATGACTGCATAATGGCATTGTTGTTAGGTGCCATCGAGTCGGTTCCGACTCATAGCAACCCTATGTACTACAGAACGAAACACCGCCCGGTCCTGCACCATCCTCACAATCGTTGCTATGTTTGAGCCCATTGTTGCAGCCACTGTGTCAATCCATCTCCTTGAGGGTCTTCCTCTTTTTTGCTGACCCTCTACTTTACCAAGCATGATGTCCGCTCGGGGGCTGGTCCCTCCTGATAACATGTCCAAAGTATGTGAGACATAGTCTCGCCATCCTTGCTTCTAATGAGCATTCTGGCTGTACTTCTTTCAAGACAGATTTGTTTGTTCTTTTGGCAGTCCGTGGTATATTCAATATTCTTCACCAATACCAAAATTCAAAGGTGTCAATTCTTCTTCCATCTTCTTTATCCATTGTCCAGCTTTCACATGCATATGAGTTGATTGAAAATACCATGGCTTGGGTCGGGTGCACCTTAGTCCTCAAAGTGACATCTTTGCTTTTCAACACTTTAAAGAGGTCTTTTGCAGCTGATTTGCCCAATGTAATGTGTTGTTTGATTTATTGACTGCTGCTTCCAAGGGCTTAATATAGATATTAACTATTGATCATTTCAGTGAAAAGTGTTTTTCTAAGTTTGTTGTCTCTTAATTTTATGCATAATGGTTTTTGAAATAAAAAAAAGTTTGAGTTTGTAGGTAGCAACTCACAAATCGAGGAGCCCTGGTGGCACAGTGGTTAAGCTCTCGGCTACTAACCAATAAGTCAGAGGTTTGAACCTACCAGCCGCTTTGCGGGAAAAAGATGCAGCAGTCTGCTTCCCTAAAGATTTACAGCCTTGGAAACCCTGTGGGGCTGTTCTAGTCTGTCCTATAGGGTTGCCAAGAGTCAGAATCAACTTGATGACAGTGGGTTTTGTTTGTTTGTTTGTTTTTTGGGTAACCCATCAATCTTTCCTTTATGATTCGTTTATTCCTTTCGTATTTGTAAAAATCTTTCCCCATTCAGAGGTTTTTTAAAAATCGCCTATACTTCCTCCAGCTTTCTTTTTACACTTTAATTTTTTGCATTTAACTTTTAAATCCGTTAATATTTCCTACAGACTAGAAGTTATTTTGGGTCATCGTATGAGTTTTATTTTTTCCAAAAAAGCCATCCATTGTCCCAACTGATTGTTGATATTAAGGATGCTGAAGATTCTAAAATTACGGGAGTGTAGGTGAATTTTTTTCTGCTTGAATTTTATTGTACTTTCCATATGTTCTACAATAACTATGAATGGCTTTTTAAATCCAAAAAACAAGTCTTTTTTAAAAAGATCGTATGCATTCATCTTGGAATTCGTCATGAAGAACCTGGAGTTAGGTATCAGCTCCTGAGGTTATTGTCTCTTAAAACCCCTGTGGTGATATTTCACCTTTTCCTTTGGAATTGCTTTTAAGTATTCAAGAATTTTTCTCCTTTGCAACTTTGAGTTCATGCCTTAAAGATTTTAGAATTCTAAAATTCCTGTTTCTTTTGTAGATCTTTAGGTTTGGGTTCTAACAAAATCTACCCCCATACCACTTCCTCCAGGGTATTAAAAACTTGGATAAAGCTCAAAGGATGGGTATTCCTAGTAGGGATGTGAACCCTAAGCTAAAGACTTTAAGATCCTAAAAAGATGATGCTTGTGGCTTCTTTGTTTGTTTGCTCTGCAGGTGACTTTCAAAAACCTGGCCTCTCGTCCTTACTCCTTCTATTCTAGTCTAATTTCTTATGAGGAAGATCAGAGGCAAGGAACAGAACCTAGAAAAAAATTAGTGAAGCCTAATGAAACCAAAACTTACTTTTGGAAAGTACAACATCATATGGCGCCCACTGAAGATGAATTTGACTGCAAAGCCTGGGCTTATTTCTCTGATGTTGATCTGGTAAGCAAGTCTCCATTGTGCTGGCCACTTTATGGTGGAAAAGAAAGGGTCTTTGTGTGCTCTGCTAAGAATTTTGGTATTTATCCCAAGAGCGATGGGAAGCCTTAAATAGGGGAGGTGGCATCATATTTGTGTTTTAGAAATATTACTCTGGAATCTACTGAAGAGGATGAATCGTACTGTGGGAAAATGAGGGGTAGGTTGGGGTGGCATAAAAGTTGACGAGAAGTCTACTCTGGTTCATATGTGAGAGAGGGCTTATACACATAGGATTGACATCTTCCCTCCCCAGGAAAAAGATCTGCACTCAGGCTTGATTGGACCCCTTCTGATCTGCCGCACTAACACGCTGAACCCTGCTCATGGGAGACAACTGACAGTTCAGGAATTTGCTCTGCTTTTCACTATCTTTGATGAGACCAAGAGCTGGTACTTCACTGAAAACATGGAGAGGAACTGCAAGGCTCCCTGCAATATCCAGATGGAGGACCCTCTTTTTAAAAAGAGCTATCGCTTCCATGGTAACATATACCACTTCCAAATATTACTCACTGTAAAGTGCAGCACGCACGATGTCAAATGAGCCTTGAGCCAGAGGCTTGAACAATGTATGAATCAAGAGGATATGTGTGGGAGTGGAATCCTCAGAAACATCAGTATTTTTGGTGGGGTGGAGAGAAAGAAATGTCTACGATAGGCTTTGATAGCCTTCTCTGTGTTCTCCTTCAACAGCAATCAATGGCTATGTGATGGATACACTACCTGGCTTAGTAATGGCTCAGGATCAAAGGATCCGGTGGTACCTGCTCAGCATGGGCAGCAATGAAAATATCCATTCTATTCATTTCAGTGGACACGTGTTCACTGTCCGGAAAAAAGAGGAGTATAAAATGGCAGTCTACAACCTCTATCCAGGTATGAGTTGGTGTGTACTCTTTCTTCTGTCTACTTATTGAGTACTTTAAATGTATATTGTAGGCACTGGTCTAGGCACTGGGAATACAATCAGGGAACAAAGCAGACAAACTCCCTGCTCTCAGGTAACTTACTTTTTCAAGTAACTTTAATCTACAGAGAGATAGTAAATTAGTTAGCCAGTGAACGAGATAATTTCTGACACGGAAAAAGTGCTATAAAGGAAATGCAGCAGAATCAATGGAGAGTAAATGTTGCAGCACTTTCATTTTGCATCTCAAATCCCACGTGGCATCAGTAGTTGTCCAAAGAGTGATTGGTTTATGTACGCAACCAGTATGTTAATTAAGCACTACTCACCATGTCTTTTAAAACACAACTTTAAAAAAAGGTTTGATAGTGGAGGCAAACTCCCCATGTTTTGGGGTGAAAATTCTGATAAGCCTCTGTGACTTCTCTGCTCACTCTGAAGTGATAAACTGGCCCGCAGTTTACATTACAAATACAGTTCAAGTCAGAAATTACAGTGTCCACTCCAAGATATTACTCAAAGCTCTGGACTTGTAAGTAAGGGTGGTTGAGACCTCTATTTCTCTATCTTGTGTATACTGTGCTGTTCTGAACTCCAGCATGGATAGGGTAAGGGTAAGTGGGTAGAACAGTTCTTACCAACTTACAACGGGACCGTTCACATCATCTTCACCTGGTAGATATTTACAGCTGACTCTTCCTCTTGCAGGGCATTTTTAGGGACTCTTCAGAGACTCCCTTTTGAGACCCTCTCTCATGAACTTCCCTTGACCTGGGTGGTTTCACTTTTATTCTGGGTGATCACTTGTGACTCATTCCTCAGCCCCCCCAGTTTCTTGCTACTGGGTTTACTTTACCCCTCTAGTCACCCCTAGTAGACTAGACCAAAGAGTACCTCACCCTGACCCCTCTCTCCCAAGGAGCGCATATCTGCCCAGTGGGAAACACATCTTTTGCTCTGAAAAATCTTGGGAGTGCAGGCCACCCTAATGCAGAGCATTCTCCTGTCTCCACCACTGAAGCATTCAGTCACCCTGTCTCCACCACCGAAGCATTCAGTCACCCCGTCTCCTTCATTTTTCCAAGGAGGAGGGGGAATCAGAACTCAATCTCCAGTGCCTGTAACTATAGGGGTCACATGGCAAGCATTTGGAATTTGAGTGGTCCAAGAGTCGTGCAACTGACTTCGAGAGATCTCTTTTGATATTCTGCAGAAGCTAATTGATCTCATGCTCATTTTTTAGTGAAAAGAAATAATTGTTCCTTTTTTCCCCATTCATCTTTTTTTTCTTATTTAATCTTTTTTTTTTTTTTTTTTACTTTACTGTGTTTTAGGTGAAAGTTTACAGCAGAGATTAGATTTTCATTCAAAAATTTTATACGCAAATTGTTTTGTGACATTAGTTGCAATTCCCACAATGTATCAGCACTCTTCCCCTTTCCCTTTCAACCCTGAGTTCCCTGTGTCCATTCCTCCAGTTTTCCTGTCCCTTCGTGCCTTCTCATCTTTGCTTCTGGGCAGGTGTTGCCCATTTGGTCTTGTGCACTTGATTGAACTAAGAAGCACGTTCCTCACATGTGTTACTGTTTGTTTTATAGGCCTGTCTAATCTTTGGCTGAGAGGTGCACTTTGGGAGTGGCTTCAGTTCTGAGTTAGCAGGCTGCCCAGGGGGCCATAGTCTCGGGGGTTCCTCTAGTCACTGTCAGACCAGTAAGTCTGGTCTTTTTTAGTGAATTTGATTTTTTGTTTGACATTTTTCTCCTGCTCTGCCAGAGATCCTCTACTGTGATCTTTGTCAAAGCAGTCAGTGGTGCTAGCCGGACACCATCTAGTTCTTCTGGGCTCAGACTGGTGGAGGCTGTGTGTGGTTCATGTGGTCCATTAGTCCTTTGGACTAATATTTTCCTTGTATCTTTGTTTTTTTTCATTCTCTTTTGCTCCGAACATGCAGGGACCAATAGATGTTTCCTAGATGGCCACTCACAAGCTTTAAAGACCCCAGACTCTACTCACCAAAGTAGGATATAGAACATTTTCTTTATGAACTATGTTATGCCAGTGGACCTAGATGTCCCTTGAGATCATGGTCCCCAGCCCTCAGCCTCAGTAACTCACTCCTTCAATGTGTTTGGATGTGTCTAGGAAGCTTCTGTGACTTTGCCTTGGTCAAGTTGTGCTGACTTTCCCTATATTGTCTGTTTTCTTTCCTTTCACCAAAGTTAACACTTGTCTACGATCTAGTTAGTGATTTCCCCTCTACACCCCTCCCCTCCCTCTTAACCGTCAAAGATTGTTTTTTTTCTGTGTGTAAACCTTTTCTTGGGTTTTTGAAATAGTAGACTCATATAGTATTTTTCCTTTTGTGATTAACTTATTTCACTCAGCATAATGCCTTCCAGATTCATCCACATTATGAGATGTTTCACAGATTCATTGTTGTTCTTTATCGTTGCATAGGATTCCATTGTGTGGATGTACCACAATTTGTTTATCCATTTTTCTGTCGATGGGCACCTAGTTGTTTCCATCTTTTTGCTATTGTGAACAGTGCTGCAATGAACATGGGTGTGCATATATCTATTCATGTGACGGCTCTTATTTCTCTAGGATATATTCCAAGGAGTGGGATAGCTGGATCCTATGGTATTTCTATTTCTAGCTTTTTAAGGAAGAGCCATATCGTTTTCCAAAATGGTTGTACCATTTTACATTCCCACCAGCAGTGCAGAGGAGTTCCAATCTCCCCGAAACCTCTCCAACATTTATTATTTTGTGTTTTTTGGATTAATCCTAGCCTCGTTGGGGTGAGACAGTATCTCATTGTAGTTTTGATTTGCATTTCCCTAATGGCTAATGATCGTGAGCATTTCCTCATGTGTCTGTTAGCCACCTGAATGTCTTCTTCGGTGAAGTGTCTGTTCATATCCTTTGCCCATTTTTTAATTGGGTTGTCTTTTTGTTGTTGAGGTGTTGAAGTATTGTATAAATTTTAGAGATTAGACCGTTGTCAGAGATGTCATAGCCAAATTTTTTTTCCCAGTCTGTGGGTTCTCTTTTTACTCTTTTGGTGAAGTCTTTTGATGAGCATAAGTGTTTAATTTTTAGGAGCTCCCAGGTATCTAGTTTCTCTTCTGGTGTTTGTGCATTGTTAGTTATGGTTTGTATTGTATTTATGCCATATATTAGGGCCCCTAGTGTTGTTCCTATTTTTTCTTCCATGATCTGTATCATTTTAGGTTTTATATTTAGGACTTTGATCCATTTTGAGTTAGTTTTTGTGTATGGTGTGAGGTATGGGTCTTGTTTCATTTTTTACAGATGGACATCCAGTTTTGCTAGCACCATTTGTTAAAAAGACTGTCTTTTCCCCATTTGATGGACTTGGTCCTTTGACAAAGATCAGGTGGTCGTAGGTGGATGGATTTACATTTGGGTTCTCAATTCTGTTCCATTGATTAATGTGTCTGTCATTGTACCAGTACTAGGCTGTTTTGACTACTGTGGCTGTACAGTAGGTTCTGAGATCAGGTATTATGAGGCCTCCTACTTTGTTCTTTTTCTTCTTCAGTAATGCTTTGCTTATCTGGTGCCTCTTTCCTTTCCATATAAAATTGGTGATTAGTTTTTCCATCTTGTTAAAGAATGCTGTTAATATTTGGATCGGGATTGCATTATATCTGTAGATCGCTTTAGGTAGGATTGACATTTTCACAACGTTGAGTCCTCCTATCCATGAGCATGGAATGTTTTACCATTTGTAGGTCTCTTTTGGTTTCTTGCAATAGTATTTTGTAGTTTTCTTTGTAAAGGTCTTTTACATCCCTGGTTAGATTTATTCCTAAATATTTTATCTTTTTAAGGGCTTTTGTAAATGGTATGCTTTCCTGATTTCCTTTTCAAATTTCTTTTTGTTTATGTATAGGAATCCAACTGATTTTTGTATGTTGTGTTGCTTTTGTTTTTGATAAGGCATGTTTGAGACAGTGGAAATGCTGCCATCAAAAGTTGGAATTTGGAGAGTAGAATGCCTTATTGGTGAGCATCTACAAGCTGGAATGAGCACTCTTTTTCTGGTGTACAGCAAGGGTGAGTAACACTGTGGGCAGAGGCTCAATGCCTAACCAGCCCACTTCTGTACAACTTCATGTCATCTTTTCTTCCTTCCTGGGATGGTTGCCTTTGTAAGCAATTAATACAAGCTCACAAGCTCTTATCAAGTTTAAAATAGATACTGCTGGTAGAAATCATCAGAATCCTCAGACGAGGGAAGATATACTTGAAGCTTTGAACACTTTGAACCTGGAGCTCTAAATATTTAATAAATTGGTACTAAAAATATCTCCTCATTTTCATAACTTGATGGAGCTCCAAGATCTCAAGTAAAAATTTTGAGACTTAATTTTGACTCAGTTACCAAAGATAACTTACAAATATCACTTGGAAGAATTTAGGAATTTAACCCTCAACAAGTAAGAGAACCACTGGTCTACTTGTGTATGAGCCCTAGTTTTCTGAGCTGCAAAGTGTGGATAATTGTACCTACCTGCTTGGGTGAATTAAATGAGACAGTACAATAAAATATTTAGTACAGTTCTTGACACATTAAAAAAAAAAAAAAAACACAACACAACAAACCCATTGCTGTCAAGTCGATTCCAGAGTAGAACTGTCCCACAGGGTTTCCAAGGAGTGGCTGTTGGATTTGAACCACCAACCTGTGGTTAGCAGCCAGGCTCTTAACCACTGCACAACCAGGGCCCTTGACACATAGTAAGCACTAAAAGATGTTAGCTTTTGTCGGTGTTCTCCCATTTTCACTGACTTACATCTCTGAAGTTGAATTTTCTGCACTTCCAGCTACTGTGTTTCCCCTATTTGATTTCAGAGTGTCAGATTCCCCTGGGAATGGCTTCTGGACGCATTAGAGATTCTCAGATTACAGCTTCAGGACATTATGGTAAATACTATTATTTTCCTCAAGAACCTGGGCTGATTATCTCTTTTTTATTTCTGTTAGATTCAGATAGCCAATCCATCTCTACGGTTGTATTAATTCTACTCCATAAGTACCTCTCAAATGCATTTCCTCCTCTCCATTTTCCAGTGTGACCATTTTAATTCAGGCTACCATCGTTTCTCATCTGGGTAATGCCACTGCCTCCTTGAATGGCCTCCCTGCCGTTGGTATTGCTCCCTTGAATTCATTCTTTTCACTGTGGCAGGGATGATATTTCTAAAGCACAAATCACATCACCCCACTTCCTGCTTATACTGTCCTGGCAGCTTCCTGTTACCTTCAGAACAAAACCTTCTGTGACCCCTGCCAAACTCTTCATTCTCATCTCCTAACACTCACTGCCCTATCCTTCTTGAGTACCGAAGTACTCTGAGTGTACCGTGTCATTTCATGTCTCTTTGCTTTTACACATGCTTACTCCCCCATCAAAACTATCCTTTCCATACTTTTGTGTCTTGCAAACTCTTCCACATCCTTCAAGACTCAATTTCCTAGCCTTGTCTCCTTTATGAAGCCTTTCATAACTCTCCTCATACAAAAAGGCAGAATCATTTTCTCTTATTTTTTTATGGGATCATGCATATACTTCTGTGTAGCACTTTCCATACTGTACTGCAACTGTCTTAAATTATACTTTGAGCTTCTTGAGGTTAGAGTCATATCTGACCAACCTCTCTATTTCCTAGTATCTAGCAAGGAAGAGGTGTTCAGTGAATGTTTTCGAAAGAATGCATGGTAATATTATCACTCCCCAAGATAATTCCATGTCCCCCCATGTTTTACCCAGTGTTAGAAGATAAGAACACTACCACATTACCAAACGAATACTAGAGGCTGCACTTTACTATGAGCAAGGGTGGTAAAGCTTAACTAGGATCTGTAGAGAATTCTGAAACATTGTATTAGAGCAGGGGTCAGCAAACTACAGCCCACAGGCCAAATCCAGCCTGCCACCTGTTTTTGTGTGGCCCACAAGCTAAGAATGTTTTTTGCATTTTTCAATGATTGGAAAAAAAAGAAGAAGAAGAGTATTTCCTGACATGTGAAAATTATATGAAATTCAAATTTCCGTGTCCATAAATAGTTTTATTGGAATATAGCACTAGAACAGCAGTTAAGCAGCTGTGACAGAGACCATATGATCCACAAAGCTTAAATTATTTACTATCTAGCCCTTTAGGAAAAGTTTGCCAATCTCTGTTTTAGAGGGGGAAAAAATTCCTTTTGGAAAAAAAGGCTTGAAGGTTATATACTGAAATAGTAACATTTTATTTCCCCAGGTGGAAGGATTTTGTTTTCTAAAATGTCTTTGATTTGTATTTTTACTTATTTTTTATTTTTATTTCACATTTTCTGATTTTTCTATAATGAACATATTTTGTGTAATAAAGAAATAATATTGTTTGTTAGTACTGGTAACAAATTCCAGTATCAGCTAATTAGAAGTACTAACGATCAACAAAATTATTAAATGTTAGAAAATAGAATGGACAACAAGGACAATCAAAACCCTTCAGTAGTAATCCACACTGAGCTATGAAGTCTTTATGCCTTTCTCTATTTTCTCCACAACTAGGATTAGCTTTTCTCAAGAGTAATTTCATTCCCAAGTGTCTAGGACCAACCCAACTGAATCTAATGTCTCTCTCTCTTTTGTTGGGCAAAGGACAGTGGGCCCCAAAGCTGGCCAGACTTCATTATACTGGATCGATCAATGCCTGGAGCACCAAAGATCCCTTTTCCTGGATCAAGGTTAGAAAAACGAGTCAATGATGGGAAATATATCACATTCAATCACATCACTTCTTTCTGTTGCAAGCTCAAAGCTATATATGTATATATATCTAAAGTACAAATATATATGTATAAAGTATGTGTGTGTGTATGTATATATGTATGTGTGTTGGAGCCCTGGCAATGCGGTGGTTAAGAGCTACGGCTGCTCACCAAAAGGTCAGCAGTTCAAATCCACCAGCTGCACCTTGGAAACCCTATGGGGCAGATCTGCTCTGTCCTGTAGGGTCATTATGAGTTGGAATCAACTCGATGGCAACGAGCTTGGCTTGGTTATATATATATGTGTGTGTGTGTGTGTGTGTGTGCGTGTGTGTGCGTGCACATATATAAAAGTATATATATAAAGTGTATAAATATATATATATGTATATAAATATATATGTGTGTGTGTGTGTATGTATGTATACACCTCAGTCATTCTCATCAAACCCCAGTTAACAGATGGGGAAGCTAAAGAATGGAGTGGTTTGTGATTTGTGCAAAAACAGTCAGGAGTGAAAGACTTGGAAATAGAACTGACGATACTAAAGTGTCTTAGTTGTGCTCATGAGGAACCTGTACATAGATCAAGAGGCAGTCGTTTGAACAGAACAAGAGGATACTGTGTGGTTTAAAAGTCAGGAAAGGTGTGCATCCGGGTTGTATCCTTTCACCATACCTATTCAATCTGTATGCTGAGCAAATAATCCGAGAAGCTGGACTGTATGAAGAAGAACAGGGCATCAGGATTGGAGGAGGACTCATGAACAACCAGTGATATGCAGATGACACAGCCTTGCTTGCAGAAAGCAAAGAGGACTTAAAGCACTTACTAATGAAGATCAAAGACTACAGCCTTCAGTATAGATTACACCTCAAAATAAATAAGACAAAAATCCTTGCAACTGGACCAATAAGCAACATGATAAATGGAGGAATTATTGAAGTTGTCAAGGATTTCATTTTACTTGGATCCACAATCAATGCCTATGGAAGCAGCAGTCAAGAAATGAAACAACGTATTGCATTGGGCAAATCTGCTGCAAAAGACTTCTTTAAAGTGTTGGAAGGCAAAGATGTCACTTTGAGGACAAAAGTGCGCCCGACTCAAGCCATACTGTTTTCAATCGCCTCATATGCATGCGACAGCCTGACAATGAATAAAGAAGACCAGAGAAGAGCTGATGGCTTTGAATTGTGGTGTTGTCGAAGAATATTGAACATACCATGGACTGCCAGAAGAACGAACAAGTCTGTCTTGGAAGAAGTACAGCCAGAATGCTCCTTAGAAGGAAGGATGGTGAGACTCTGTCTCACATATTTTGGACATGTTATCAGGAGGGGTCAGTCCCTGGAGAAAGACATTGTTTTAGTTATCTAGTGCTGCTCTAACAGAAATACCACAAATTGATGGCTTTAACAAAGAGAAATTTATTTTCTCAGTCTAGTAGGCTAGAAGTCCAAATTCAGAGTGTCAGCTCCAGGGGAAGGCTTTCTCTCTCTGTCGGCCTTCTCATCGATCTCCCCTCAGACTAGGAGATTCTCCGTGCAAGAATCTGGGGTCCAAAGGGTGCACTCTGCTCCGGCACTGCTTTCTTGGTGGTATGGGGTCCCTACTCTCTGCTCGCTTCCCTTTCCTTTTATCTCTTGAAAGATAAAAGGTGGTGCAGACCATACCCCAAGGAAGCTCCTTTTACATTGGATCAAGGATGTGACCCTAGTAAGGGTGTTACAATCCCACCCTCATCCTCTTTAACATAAAATTACAATCACAAAATGGAGGACAACCACACAATACTGGGAATCATGGCCTAACCAAGTTGGGAGGACATAATTCAATCCATGACAGACATCATGCTTGGTAAAGTAGAGCATCAGCAAAACAGAGGAAGAGCCTCAGTGAGATGGACTGACACAGTGGCTGCAACAATGGGCTCAGGCATTAACAGTGATCATGAGGATGGCCCAGGACTGGGCACTGCTAGGTTCTGTTGTCCATACAATTGCTATGAGTCGGCGCCAACTCGACAGCACCTGACAACAACAAATTGTCTTATTTCTTTGATTTTAATCTTTATACTAGGATTAGAACATTTGCATACCTTCTGTAAGATGGAACTCACCACCTCACAAGACTGTCTATTCTGTTCGATGTCTCTGACTGCCTAGGTGTCCTCTTATTTTAACATCAAAACAAACAGCTCAATTCCCCATCACATGAGCAAAGAAAAAGTAGCTTCTTTATTTTCTAAAACTCATTCAGTCTCTTCCTCACAAATTCTACACCACTGGGTAGTAGGAAAAGCCTACTAAGTTCGTCCAATCTGGTAAACGAAGTTGAAACCTATGATTAAAACAGTGTCTTTAGGTTAATTCAATTTTTTAAAATGACTCATTCTTTCAGGCTTTTCACTTCCCTGTTTCCTTTAGATCAGTGCTGTCCCAGAGAAATATAATATTAGCCACCAATGCAAACCACATGTGTAATTTTACATTTTTTAGTAGCCACAATTAAAAAAGCAGGTGAAATTAATTTTAATAATACATTTTATGTAACTCAACATATCCAAAAATATTATCATTTCATCATGTGCTAAATTAGGCTCTGTGGCCCCTTTAAGAGCATATAGGAACTTCTTGGTCCCTTTCATGCTGCATGAGAGCTGAGGGCAGCTTGGGAATGCCAACTCAGCCTCTCTGCCTAACCACATGGGCAGGTTCCTTCTAGCGCCCCAAACAGGAAACAGGGAGAAAACTTTTCTGCTTTCAGTTTTGGTCTCAACCTATCTAACATGCCTCCCACCTCTGGTACTTACAGGCTGAACAGGGGACTTCTGTCCACACGCTTTACCACCTACTCTCCCTAGGTCCATCCTCTTCTCATAGTGCACCAGCTTCCTTCTTCCTCTTCTTAGTTTGGTTGAGGACAGTCCCCTACATATTTTTCTCCTTTGCAAGATTGTATCTGCTCTCTGTTCCTCCCCTGCCCCAGGTTAAAATAGTACACAGAGTGGAGAAAGATAAACCGTTTTACCAGAAAGCAGATGCAAAGAGCATGTCTGTTAAGGTCTGGTCAGCTCATCTTGTTTTCTTTTTTTAATTTGAGCTGACTGTTCACTAACCCTTAAGTATGTTTTTGTTTGTGCTGCTGCCAGACTACACTGTCCACCTCGTATTTCTGTGGCTATCACTTCCAGCCTTACCTGCATCCTTGCGCTGTGAACGTTTGCATTTAGTTGGCTGCCCTGCATTTGTTCTACTTATTTGTTTTGTAATGTTGTTGTTGTTGTTAGGTGCCATCGAGTCGGTTCCAACTCACAGCGACCGTATCTACAACAGAAGGAAACACTGCCCGGTCCTGCGCCAGCCTCACAATCCTTGCTAGGTTTGAGCCCATTGTTGCAGCCACTGTGTCAGTCCATCTCGTTGAGGGTCTTCCTCTTTTTCACTGACCCTCTACTTTACCAAGCATGATGTCCTTCTCCAGGGACTGGTCCTTCCTGATAACATGCCCAAAGTATGTGAGATGCAGTCTCGCCATCCTGGCTTCCAAGGAGCACTCTGGCTGTACTTCTTCCAAGACAGACTTGTTCGTTCTTTTGGTAGGCCATGGTATAGTCAATATTCTTTGCCAACACCATCATTCAAAGGCGTCAATTCTTCTTTGGTCTTCTTTATTCACGATGTTGCTTATTGGTCGAGTTATGAGGATTTTTTGGTAATAGCTTTCTCATTTCTATTTGGAGAACTGTATCTCCCTCACTAGATGCAAAATCTCAAGAAACTAGTAATGCCTTTGCCATTGCATCACCTCTAGGAAGAATCTAGAAGCTAATATTTAGTGTTTACTATGTGCCAGGCACTGAACTCGGTAACTACATGTATTAACTCTTTAATCCTCATGATAACCCTTTGAGAAACATGCTATTATTATCTCCACTTTACAGATGAAGAAACTGAGACACAGAGAGATTAGGTGATTGTCTTAGTTACCTAGTGCTACTATAACAGAAATACCACAATTAGGTGGCTTTAAAGAACAGACATTTATTTTCTCACAGTTTAGAAAGCTAGAAGTTCTAGGGCTCTGGCTCTAAGGGAAGGCTCTCTCTGTCCGTGTCGCCGCTTCTCCAGTGTTCTTCTCAGCGTTCCCGTGCATGTATCTTCCTCTCCATTTGTGCTTCCTTGCTTCTGTGTCTGTGCTACTCTGTTTATCCCTCAGAAGTGATTTGAGTTAGGATACACTCTACATTGATACATTTGCTGATGTGGCATGACTCAAAATGAGGAGAAACAGCTGCAAACATCCATTAATAATTGGGACGTGGAATGTACAAAGTATGAATCTAGGAAAACTGGAAATCATCAAAAGTGAAATGGAATCTATAAGACCAGTATGCTAGGCATTAGTGAGCTGAAAGGGACTGGTATTGGCCATTTTGAATCAGACAATCGTATGGTCTACTATGCCGGGAATGACAAACTGAAGAGGAATGGCGTTGCATCATCATCAAAAAGAACATTTCAGGATCTATTCTGCAGTACAGCGCTGTCAGTGATAGGACAATATCCATACACCTACAAGGAAGACCAGTTAATACGACTACGATTCAAATTTCTGCACCAACCACTAAGGCCATTGATGAAGAAATTGAAGACTTCTACCAAGTTCTGCAGTCTGAAATCGATCAAACATGCAATCAAGATACGTTGATAATTACTGGTGATAAGAATGCAAAATTTGGAGACAAAGAAGAAGGATCGGTAGCTGGAAAATATGACCTTGGGGATAGAACGATGCCGGAGATGGCATGACAGAATTTTACAAGACCAATGACTTCTTCATTGCAAATACCTTTTTTTCACCAACATAAACAGCGACTATACACGTGGACCTTGCCGGATGGAATACACAAGAATCAAATTGACTACATCTGTAGAAAAAGATTTTGGAAAAGCTCAATATCATCAGTTAGAACAAGGCCAGGGGCCGACTGTGGAACAGACCATCGATTGGTCAAATGCAAGTTCAAGTTGAAACTGAAGAAAATTAGAACAAGTCCACGCCACCCAAGGTACGACCTTGAGTATATCCCACCTGAATTTAGAGACCATCTCAACAATAGATTTGACGCATTGAACACAAATGACCAAAGACCAGACGAGTTGTGGAATGATATCAAGGACATCAGAGATGAAGAAAGCAAGAGGTCATTAAAAGGACAGGAAAGAAAGAAAAGACCAAAATGGATGTCAGAAGAGACTCTGAGACTTGCTCTTGAACATCGAGTAGCTAAAGCAAAAGGAAGAAATGATGAAGTAAAAGAACTGACCAGAAGATTTCAAAGGGTGGCTCGAGAAGACAAAGTTAAGTATTATAACGAAATGTGCAAAGACCTGGAGTTAGAAAACCAAAAGGGAAGAACACGCCCAGCATTTCAATCATCTCGTGTGAAAGCTGGACAATGAATAAGGAAGATCAAAGAAGAATTGATGCACTTAAATTATGGTGTTGGTGAAGAATATTGAATATACCATGGACTGCCAAAAGAGCGAACGAATCTGGCTTGGAGGAAATACAACCAGAATGCTTCTTAGAAGCTGGGATGGTGAGACTGCGTCTTACGTACTTTGGACATGTTGTCGGGAGGGACCAATCCCTGGAGAAGGACATCATGCCTGGTAAAGTAGAGGGCCAGTGAAAAAGAGGAAGACCCTCAATGAGCTGGATTGACACAGTGGCTGCAACAATGGCCTCAAGCATAGCACCGACTGTGAGGATGACACAGAACCGGGCAGTGTTTCGTTATGTAGTATATATAGGATCAGTATGAGTCAGAACCGACTGAACCGCACCTAACAACAACTACATTGATATGGACTCATTAACATAACAAAGAAAATCCTATTCCCAAAAGGGATTATATCCACAGGTATGGGGGGCAGGACTTCAATATGTATTGTTTGGCGGACACAATTCAGCCAATAACATTGACTCAAATAGATTCATTGCCTTAAGAATCTCAGTCTAATAAGGAAGGCGGCCAGCAAAGCAAACTTTATAATATGGTGCAATAATTTGCTGTAATGAAGTTATATAGAGTGAAGTGGAAACATCAAAGAAGTAGCACTAAATTTGCCTGGGAGAGTTAAGAAAGGCTAACCAGGAGAGAGAATTTCTGAACTAACACTTGAAGGATGCACAGCAGTTTATCACTGATAGGGGATGCCGGGTCGAGGGCTGGTCTAGGGAGAGGGGAGGAAATGGGCTTTGGCTCGGCTGGGGCTAAGATGTTAAGTTACGTGGGTCCCTATGTGCAGCACAAAGTATACGTGTAGAGGAAATGGGGGCATCAATATTTGGAAGTGGCCTGGTTTGCCAGGAAGTAGTCTGGGAACTCAATAAGCACCTTTCCTACCAGTTCGCACCATTTATCCCAACACTGTTGTCTGCTTCACCTACGCATCCAAGGTAATGCTGGGCATATGTGTACCAATGTAAATTCTTCCTCAGCAATGAGTTAATGTCAGGAGGTGGGACACACATTTAAAAACAGGTTAAAGTGTTGTTTTAATTGATAGGTGGATCTGTTGGCGCCAATGATTATTCACGGCATCAAGACCCAGGGTGCCCGCCAGAAGCTCTCCAGCCTCTACATCTCCCAGTTTATCGTCATGTATAGTCTCGACGGGAAGAAGTGGCAGAGTTATCGAGGGAATTCCACTGGGACCTTAATGGTATGTCATTAGTCCTTTCAAGAGAATGCATGAATCCTTTAAAGAGCTTTTGACAGATTTCAGATACGGGGCAAACACTCTTAGCTTCTACAAACTTAACTCCAAACCAGAATTTTCCACCTTATGGGCAGTTGGAGTGATATGGGCGTATGAACAAAACCAAAGTAGCAGCATCAAGGATCTCACAGCTGATAAACATTAAGAGATGCTCTATTGGCAGAAAGGAGATTCCGGACTCGGTGAACTGATCAGATATTGAGTTTGCTTATGGATATGTTAGGCTTAAGGTGACAGTAAGCCAACCAGGCTGAAATGGGAAATGACAGATCATCACAAATGTAACCAGGTGGTGATGTCAAAAACAAGTGCAATTCCACATATGGCATCTCTTCTGGAGCAAATTAACATAGCCCCAAGCATCTGATATAGAACTATTGACCTAGAAAATGTCTTTTTCTTCATTCCTATTAATAAGCAAAAATCAGAATAAGTTTGCATTTATGAGGGAGGAACAGGAGTATTAACTTTACTATCTGTGCCTCAGAGTGATGTCAGCTCCCTTGTTTTTTGCCGTAATATAGACTCACAGGAGCCACAGGACTAATGGGGGCAGCGGGGAACCCCTACACCCGTTAAGGAGCACTACTTCACTGGCACCATTTTCGATAGTTTACAGTATTTCGAATGCCAATTTCTGACTTTCAATGAATATTTAAATAATAAGGATCTCTCCCCCTTGGTTTTCAAGTTTAAAATCAGACTATGCACATCCTTTAAAAATATCTATCTTTGGTCATGTTAGGAATCAGTGTGAACTTTGATATTGGGGTGACACGTAGCAAGTGAACTCAGAAATGATGGAATCAGGCCTGGGCCCAGCTATCCCTGCCACTAAGTTTCTGCGAGAGATCCATTAACGAGCCAATGGCAAATGGAAAACAAGGAGCTTTACTGTTTCCTTGGAATCATGCTTGCATACCCAGTACTGGGCTCTCTGGGAATTCTCCCCCCGCCCCAACTCCCCCGCCTCACCACAGGAGGCTTTTCCTTAAGCCCCAATCCAAGTGATATCAGCGGTCACCCTCCGTGTAAGTCCTTAGCATTCCTGTCATAAGAGAGTAAGGCGGCCCCCCAGGCCTGCAGTCCGGGTTGAGGAGTGTACCAGAAAAAGCCAAAGAAGAAAGGAGCGTGCGCTCTGACCACATTTGCAATAAACTGGACTAGGAGTTTAGAGGTCAGTAGTTCCCTTCCTGGCAGCCAAATGAGAGCAGAGGAATGGTGGCTGGCTCTGTCTCAACTGGGCCTCTCCTCGATTTCCTGACTGTTACGTACACACTGAAGTAGAAATAGAAAACCAACCACTTGCCACCGAGTCGACTCTGACTCATGACGACCCCACGTGTGTCAGAGTAAAAGTGTGCTCCATAGGGTTTTCAAGGGCTGATTTTTTTGGAACTGGGTTGCCAGGCCTTTCTTCTGAGGTGCCTCTGGGTGGACTTGAACCTCCAACCTTTCAGTTAGCAGTGGAGCGTGTTAACCCATTTTCACCACCCAGGGACTCCAGAAAGAGAAACAAATACCCTAAAAGTCCCACCAATTTTGAGGCACTCAACTGGGTTTCACAACCCTCCCCCACCCCCACTCCCCTCAAAAAACACACAAAAAATCAACCCCCAAGCTGTGTCCTTAAATCTCACCCCAAAAGGTTAGTAGTGTATACAACTTCAGCCTGAAGGATGCATTTTCCCAAAGTTGAGTGTTTAAGGACGAGGTTTTATTTTGAGGGGCTCTTACTACTACCCTCAAAACTGTAAAAAAGAAAAATAAAAGAAAGAAAGAAAAAGGAAACAGCTAAGTTGGTTTGCGTGTAACATTTGGGCCCAAAACCCTTGGAAATTTAGTGTTTTAAAAATGGAAAGCCACCCTGCTTTGGGTGAACAAGGATACTGCCTTGCATGTACATAATCACAAAATACCAAAGAGACATGCTCCGATTTTACGTCTTTGAATCACAAACTGCAGAAAGATCCCTATTACAAGTAAAGGTTGTCACCTAGATTACACAGAGCTATCAGAATAGAACCAAAACTGCGAATCCCAGTGCGTTGGAACTATCGCACTGGACACACGTGTGCCGAGGCTACTGGAATAAGGACTGCAGGGCAGATCAGCTCCGCAGATTCCTTTCCTGGCATCACACACAAGCTAGGTGTGCCGTACATTTCAAACGCGCCAATATCTACTGGAGCTGAAAGAGAAGTCTCTCGCTCTGCTTTTTGCCTCCTGACAAGTAGGTAAGACATTCACATTATACAGATGAGGCAAATCTAAACCGCCGGTTAGGAGCATTAGGATAGCTCTATCATGGATTTAGGGCCGTCCCAACGACCACGTTGTAAGGAATAAAATTATTTCCAGGAATATGTACGGGGCGGATGAAAGAAAGGAACCATTGGTGATCCCCAAGACACAGAAATTTAAGCTAAGCGATGAGGTCAGAGTCACGACACACTCATACAGCCTAAGGATGTAAACGGAGCCATGCAAAAGAAAATCCTCAAGTCTAAAACAAAGATGGGGGTGGGTTGGGTGGAGGAAAAAGAGGAGGGGAATAAAGGAGTTTAGTGGGTTGAATGGCGCTCCCCGCTACTCGCCAAAAAAAAAAAAAAAGATTCTGTCCAACCAGGAACCTGTGACAGTGGCCCTACTTGGAGAAAGGGTCTTTGCAGATGTAACTAAGTGAAGGATCTCGAGGTGAGACCGTCTTGGATTATCCTGTGGGCCCAACATTCAGTGAGATTTGTCCTTAGAAGAGGAGGAGCAAACAGACAGAAGGGGAGAAGGCACACAGAAGTGGAGAGGGGAGGCCGCCGCCGTGTGAAGACAGAGGCAGAGACGGCAATGATGTCTCTAACAGCTAAGGAACGCCTGGAGCCACCAGAAAACGCAAGAGGCGAGGAAGGATTCTCCCCTAGGGCCTTGAGGTTGGACTTCTGGCCTCCAGAGCTGTGAGGGAAAAAGTTCCTGTTGTTTGAAGCCACCAGGTTTGTGGTCATTTGTTAGGGCGGCCCTAGGCAACGGAGAAGAGGGATTCTCATTTCTATGTTGCGGTTTTTGGGAAGAGTCGTGTCCTCTAGCCCAATTCTATCATCAGGCTTTTTCTCCTACTATCCGAAGCCACCCAGAGGTGCCTCGGAAGAAAGGCCTGGCGATCTGCTTCCGAAAGGTCACAGCCTGGAAAACCTTACGGAGTGCAGTTCTACTCTGCACACGTGCGGTCACCATGAGTCAGAATCCAGGCACGGCAACTAGTTGTTTTAAATTATTACAGAAACAAGCATTTGGGATACAGCTAACCTTCAGTAAACTAAACGCTGACTCCCACGGTGACCACAGCAATCACATAAACGTAGGATCAGGATAAACGTCTTTTATTTCTCCCCACGTGCAAAGGCGGATGCATGAGGTTTGATCACAGGAAGAGAGTCACTTGGTTAACGGGAGTGATCAGATCCCCTGTCCCGAGGGGGAGATGGTTTCTTGCAGAACGAGGTGAAGGAGGTGGTTCTGCTCGGCACTCAGCAGCGGCCACATCTCCACCTGCAGCGACTTGATGGCTTCGGTGTCCTTTTCCTGGGTCGCCATGACCAAGGACTGGAGCAGCAGAAAGAGCTCCTCGGGAAGCTGGCCACTGCTATCCTGCCCGTGGCTGTCGAAAGCCTCCCAGGAGTACTTCTCCAAGGTGTGGGCGTGCTCCGGCAGCAGCTTGGCGGGTGGTGGTTGCAGGAGGAGGAGCAGCAGTACGCGGGACACCTCGCAGCGGACCAGCACGTCGGAGAAGGCGCCCAGAGCCGCGGGAGGCGGCGCGGCGGAGGCGGCGTTAGCAGGGAGCGGCACCGGCAGGGCGGGGACCGTGTCGGGTCCCGGCGGGGGCCCGGGCGGCTG